CCCAAGACCTGGACGTTCATACGGCTTATTCGTATTACGGCTAGCAGATTTTGCCTTCCGTTTCCTCTGTGCTCTGGCCTCAGCCTGACGCAACTTAGAAGAATCATCAGCGTCGTCACAAATAGGGTCATCTTCGTACTCAGCAACCGTGTCCCAACCATGACGGTCCGCTATCTTAACAATCTTATTCCTCTCGTCTAAATGAGCGAGACAGATCGTGAGCGTCGACTCTGCTAATTCGCTATTATCGTCTTTAATAGCTTGAATAGCTTTGGAAATGTCCAGTCTTATCTCAGAGTTAAAGACAAACTGTTTACGGTTCCCTTCAAATTTAAATTTAAAGTCTGACTTATTCGCTGCCAAAAGTTTCTCCTGACTTTGAAGTTTTTTGTCAATGTCGGACGAAATGAGGGAACGGTGAGAACTCAGAGCGATATCCAGCCTAGAGCTAAAAAGGGACAGGGAATCAGCAGTGGAAAGGTTCACCGTAGAATCCTGCCTGGTACATGTAGGCTCAGTTGAGCTACCATCTTTGTCAATGTTCATTTTGTTTTAGTCATACAGTGTACAGGTAAAATACACGTCCGTACTGCTGTGAACGATCTCGTCGAATGCTAATACACACTAAATGCACGTGCGAAGTGCTACACTACACCTGTAGCACGAATTTAAGAACTACACTACAAACGAAACGAAATTCATATATATAATGGGTGTATTCATGGACAAAATGCAAACACATTGTGACAATATCAATAACGTGATATCTTTATTATGCATTTTTTACATAAATTACACAATTCAAGAGGACATTTACAAGGCTTCGATAAAACAGCATATCAGTAAACGAACCTGATAGGGCTGTGTTGCTGCAGACATGTAAGTGTACGTACACTGCTACCGCTTAAATATAAATACATGCATTCAAAATAGAAAAACGTTTAAAAACGAAAACGGTAAACATGATTATTCATTGTAACTTTTAATTGAATCGAGTGAGGCAACCGTCTGGGCGTCCTAAACGTGACATGTGAGCGCAAATTTAGCAACCTTGTATAGTACAACTGACATCAACATGACGTACAATATTCAACTGCATTGCTTATTTAAAGCGACATCTCTACAATTTCAAATGTTGCTGAATACATATTTGTCCATTGTTTTGTATCTGTTTTGAATTTGTTTTCACTCCTTTTATAGGTTAAGTAGGCTAGTAGCCATAAAAGGCCACTTCAGGAGCCTGTCCATATCATGTTGATTGTTGATGTCAGTTCACATAATTAGATGGATAGACTTTCATAAACTATGAGGATAGTCTTCCAAATGTTGAACTAATTACAATATAAAGTGAATTGTTTCCCTTACTCTTTCACCAGTGAGAGCACTGTAGTTTAAATGAATCATATTCACTCTTACACATATTCTGTTATCACTAAAACAAAATATTTCCGTTTAATCAAACTTGAGAGTAAAAGCTACCATTAGTTTTGTAAGCAGCTTTTTTTCGTATAAAACCTTACATTTGTACACGTCAACAGTACGACGGAAAATACTGCCTGCGCATAATCGCGTCGACAAATAAGGCACAAACGACAAATCTTAAACTCGGAGTTTTCAGGAAAGCACACTTTCAGCATGTCTTTCTAAAATATTGTTAACGATGATTTCATGAATACATGTACATGTATGAGAATGAAAAAAAGATTCGAACTATATAGAATAATAAAATAAGTTATACAAACCAGACCCATCTTATCTCGTAACGTCTTTTCACTGTTTTCAATTTGGAAAAACACCATTCCATATATGGCAGCCAGGAAAAAACCATGTATGATGTCATACTTTTGGAGTATCCTCCCCAAATTCAGTATCTTTAGTTGGTTCAATGTTGACGTTGGCCGACGAGTTGTCTCTCTTCCCTCTGGGGTGAACGCTGTGATACCAAGATCTCTACATAAAAAATGTTCAACAGCGTTTTGTTTTTTATGCAAATGCTTTATTTCAAATGTTTATTTAAAATATGATACCTTACCAAACGCCCCACATTTCTCGTCTCTACTTCTTGGAGTACTCTGTACTGTACTGAATATTCACATGTTCAAAAGCGTTTTGCTTTAATGAAAACACTTTATGACGAATGTTGATTTGAAATATGATACCTTACCAATTAGTGGTTGGTAACATTTAATCCAGACAAAACCGAGGTAATATTTATTTCTAATTCTATTGACATAGATGAAGATTTAGATTTGAAATTTGATGGCAAAGACTTAAATTTTACAGACCATCATAAGCATCTGGGAGCAGTTTTTAATTCAAGCGCAAAGTGGGGGGATCATATTAATGCGATTTATAGTACAGTTATGAAGAAAATTAACGTCTTACGGAGATTGAAATATTTGCTAAATAGGAATAGTCTTTTAAAAATTTATAAATCATTCATTTTACCAGTTTTAGAATATACTTGTGAATTATTGGATGGTTGTACTAAATTTGAATCAGAAAAATTAGAGAAAGCCCAAAGAGAAGCTGCTCGCATTATATCCGGTCTTCCTTCATATGCCCGTATCGAAGATTTACATTTTGAAACAGGTTTAGAAACTCTCTCTTATCGTCGAAAACGTAGAAAACTCCAACTTTTATACAAAATGCAAAATAACTTAACTCCAGATTATTTAAAGGATCTCCTGCCATTTACTATTGCAGAAAATAACAGGTACACTCTTAGAAATATCAGTGATTATAGAGTTCCTCTATTTGGGCTTTGTCTTACCAATCTTTCCTTAATACCTTCCACTCTTCGTAGCTGGAACTCCATAGGTCTATCAGAACGATCGTTGCCTTCTATATATTTGTTTAAAAGCTCTCTTACCTCAAATGTACAACCATCCCCTCCTATCTACTTCAGTTTTTGGGAACGTAAATTAAATATTATACATGTACATACTAAACTGAGGCACAATTGTAGTTCCCTTAAGTATGACCTTTACCGAGTCAATCTTGTCGAGAGTCCATTGTGCATCTGTGGATATCCATATGTGAATACCTTTTACTTTCCCTTTAAATGTCAACTTTTTAGCAATGAAAGGCGCATTTTGTTTCAAAATTTGAATGCCTTAGGTATAGTTTTAAATTTAGAGATTTTTTTGTTTGGCAATCCTGATCTTTCGGTAGACCTTAACTCTTACGTTTTTAGACATGTGCATCACTTCATCAAATCAAGCAAAAGATTCTGAACGGTGCTTTTTTTAAGTTGTGGATTTGTACCTGTGTGAAAATTCAATCTAGCTCCCGTTTACTGATATGTCGCGTTGAAGATCTCTTCAACGCGACATATCAGTAAACGGGAGCGATGTGAAGATATAATTTTAATTAGATTGGTGAAAATTATATATATATCTACTTCATGTGTATGCCTATTATCATTGTTGACATGTTATTGTAAATGTATGACGGGAGAAGGCTGTGATAGGTTGTAATACCTTGTGCCCAATCCCTTGTTCAATTTTATTGGCAATAAATATGTTTAAAGTAAAGTTTAAAGTTAAACTAAGGCAAAGCAATCCTTAGTCTCCCACCAGTAATTATTTAAGTATATAGGTCACTGGCATGCTTCCTGTTTTCTTTGTTATCTCAAAAGATGGGGAACTGAAAACACCCCTTGTAATCTTACTCCTCTGGCTAATTAAAACTCTAGATAAAGGTCCACGACACCCCGTCAAATTCATACCTGAACTCGCATAGGTAACAATTATAAATTGCATGTAAACACACTAAATACTCTCTGGCTTTATACAATATGATTGTATGTCTCTGTTCACCCTAAAAGTGACATAGAAACACGTAAACACTGCAGCAGTACTATATACGTCGCTGACTGCAGTGATATCAGCCTTTTCTCTTATAAGTAATTCCTGATATTTCACTGGTAAAAATGCAATACATGTTGAATACGGACATCCACTAAGTTACAATTATTACTTTTCAGAAAGAATCAATAATGGCTTGTGCATTCTTGGTCTGCAACGGAATGAATGCTTCAAACAATTCGGGGTGACTAAATTATGCACATTGTCCATCCATGATCACAGATGATGATCATGATAGCTCTTCCGTAAATCACACTCAGAGAAACAGCTTTCTGAAATGACATGGACGTGAACGTTTTATACATGTCTCCTGATTCCTGTGTTGTCTCGTGTGAATGTTCCTCTGTCAGATATCTCTAGCACACCTTCGTGAGCCACAAGAATGACAGCAAAATGTTAATGGTAATGATATAATTATCCAAAATATAGAACGGATACTGTGCGGCCAAAATCCATAAAGCAGAGACGTATAACTTGAAGTATAGAGATTAGTATGTATATGTCTCTGGGCTCTCAACTGTATATATATATGCCTGTCTTGGTTGTGATGCGCTTACTAGTAAGCACTGTTCTGCGATATGGACCACAGGGACCTGAGAATTTGTTACAGCTGTATTTGGACCTTAACTAAGGTATTAAGAGTAAGTTTACATGTTTTAGAGGTTTAGATCGTTTTTCGGTAAAAATGACACCCCAATGATCATAAATATTGCATTATTACCGAAAATCGATCTAAACCCCCGAAACGTGTAAAACTAATCAGAACACCTTAGTTTAGGTCCAAATATAGCTGTAACAAATTATCAGGTCCCTATCACAAGGTGGAGAAAGTCACTCGGTTCTTTCCGTCGTTCACAAAGGACGGAAAGTACCGAATGATATGTGACGTCACCGGGGAATCCCTTTATAAACTCGGGAAACAACTTTTTCGTTCATTTTCACTTCCGATACGATCCCTTCCAGCTGTCAGTGAAAAGAAACACTAGTGATATGGATAATCCTGCTAAAACTAACACGATGGCAGGTAACAGCCAACTCATTTACCGTCTTTATAATTCATATTCAATCTACTCTGTGCAAATGGTAAATAGCATCGAGGTGCTCGTTGGCCTGTTTTGTAACACCTAGCTAACGTGTTTCATAACTAACGTAAAGCAAGGCAACACGTGAGAATCGGTAACGGGTTGTTTCGCCTTAAATCCCGTTCGCCCTAAACAATCAGAAACCGTGAGAATCAGTTTCAGAATGTATGTATAATTTGGATCTATCTTGAAAGTGTCTTAGCTAGCACTATTTAGTATCATCGGCTCTCCTTAAAATCACCGACCAAATAATTCATTATTAAATATGTTGGGACCTATCCAGATACACTATCTGTAAGGATTTGTTCAGCTTCATCATTTAAGTATAATAGTGTAGTTTTACAAAAGTGATATATCTAGCAGTTATAGTTATTTACATGAACATATCTACTTTAGCGAATGTGTATTGAAGCAGAATGATATAATATCTTTTTCAGTACAACTGGTTGAATCCAATGAAGCTCCAGGGGGTGTTCAGCTTGTCAATAGTAGACGAACAAACAAACAATCCTCCCCAATGGATCTTGTGGAACTGGCTTCCTCAATTCAACAGGTATATATAGCCAAGAAGTTGTTTTATTTATTTAAAAAAATCATAACAATGTACCAGTACATATAAATTATATGTACTGGTACATTGTTATGATTTTTTTTTAAATAAATAAATTATTAATGTGTCCCAGCTTTTTAACACCAAAATGTGGTCTCTTGACTTAAGCAAAGCACGAGACCCAGTCTTATATCAAGAAACAGACTGTGAAGTAAGACTTGAATTGTCGCAGCACATTTTTTATTATGTTTGTGAAAACATGAATATTTCATTGAGAACACAAACTAGCAATTTGAGGTTTCCCGTCTTTGGCATAATAACAATCATATATACTGCATTAATTTTTGAAAAATAACCTCCTGGGCCAACGTTAATGTGAGGGTTTGTTGATCCTGTAAAGTGATCTAAATACTATTGCATTTTCATTTTACTGATATATATTCATTTTATTTAGTAATGTCATATATGTTTGTAAGATTAATATACCTTTTAACATTATTTAACACGATGATCTCCCCTTGTTTTTCTAGGCCGACGAGTTTGTGAAGGCTACAGCTGGTAGTAAGCTGACTGTGATAGCTGATCAGATTCGTTATCTCCAGGAACAGGCCAGGAAGGTAGCTTATGAAACTTTTTTTTTTATTATTATTATTATTATTTTGGTACTCAGATTTTTTCTGTTTAAAAAAACCCACTATTTATTCAGTTATTTTTGGCTCTACAATAATTTCCATATGGTTATGTGAATCTGTATTCCTTCGATCAGTGAAAACTTATCACAAACCGAATAATTTTGAACCTAAAAATTTGAACACTGCAAAAACAATTCTCCACATAAATTAATCATAAAAATCAGAGCAGAAAATCCATTTCATATACAATAATTAACATGATTAAAAATCATTTATTATCATTAACATTTTTTTTCTGTGATTGAGTCATATCTATTCTATTCATTAGTCTGATCAGTAGACATTGATTTCATTTCCAAAATATTGATCAATTCAATAATGGTCAGAAATTTGCATAAGCCACAGTTATTAACTCCGCCTATATCTTCTGTAGATGACATCACAAAATTGCGTCTCGTTGGCATAAAATTTGCATATCTCTGCCCACATGTAAATATTTCTTGTCAACATCATGAAACCTTGTCTTGTTGTATGGTGAGGTTACGAGATGATAACTACAGTTGGAGGGAACTATGATTATTGAGTGAATGTCAGTGTAGACTAAATGTAACAAAATAAATTCCAATCCCATCTTACATTTTCTGTCAACAAAATCATATCTCATTAAATTTGACTCTCATTTTTACCTTGCAGGCGTTGAAGGAGGCTCAGAGAGACAACATAATACACCACGCGGCCTGTAACATGGTTAAGAAACCTGGCACTTTATACTACATGTATGAGAGGGAGTCTGGTCAGAAATACATGTCCATTCTATCACCAGAGGTACGTGTACCATGGAATCTGTTTTTATCTGGTCTTGGTATATGTACGGAGGTCAATGCCTTCACCAGCTACAAACCCCAGACCTCTGGTTAACTAAGAGAAATTCTCTCTAGCTGAGTTGTTTGACAGCAGCTAGTATATTACCAGGGATATATATAGGAAACTATCTCATTTTCATTATAAAATATTAAACAGTCATAGTGAACAGTGTTTGTGTACTCTGATCAACATGAATCTCTATGTTCACACAGGTTTTATTTAACACAATTACAAAAACCTTTTACTATCAGTTCTCTGTTAAATTTGAGTTTTTTTATTTGAAGTATTTAAAGTTGTAAATGAAGTTTTTGTTTGTTGCTCAATTGAAAATAATTCAACATTATATTGAGTGGTTAAGTTGCTTACATTAAATGGCATTTATAATTTTTCAAACAGAAATCATTGTGTTATATTTAAGGTAATAGGATTGCATCACCATTTCTCAGTAGATTTTTTTCAAATTTTGTAGTTATATTGCTTTGAAGTAAAGAAAATTTTCTGCCACAAAAAAAAAATAGGTTGTCAGAATTTTAAGGATTTTAAATGGAAACCTATTTAAAAAGGAGTGAATTTTGAAGAAAAAATGAAAGACACAACTTTTGGCAAAATAATGCCAATAAAAACGATATTGCCATAGATTAGTATTACATTATTGTATATCAATTTAATAAATGCTGAAATTGTGTAAAATAAATGATCTATAAACAATTAAAAAAGGACGCTTTATAATAAAACCATATACACATAGTAATTTGCATGGAAGAGTTATCTTTCTTGAAAAACTTCACAGTAGTGAAATAGGTAGCTGGTTTCCTGAAGTACAGAAAAATGGACACCTTTGACTCATTGATGAAAAACAACTGCATTAATGCCTGGATTGCTTTGAAATACTTTAATATTGAGAGAACAAACTGTTCTGTCAATAATAAACATACAATATTCATCAGTTAAATATTAAACATTAGAATATGCGGAAATTGTGATACTGTCTCCCTACATTGGATTTTCAACTAGGGATGAACTTCCTGTTTCCGTTTATCAATACACTCCTATGACCTTAAAGCATTATAATATTCTGGTAAACTGCCGTAGAATATACCTGGTGACCTTATTCCATGTTGAGATATTGTTTTGTTCTAGGATTGGGGATCTTCATGTCCACACGAGTTTGTCGGAGCTTACAAACTTGAATTTGACATGTCCTGGACACCTATTGAGGAAATGGAAAAAAGGACAGAACAGTTTGCATTGATTGACCGACTTTTAACAAGTAATCAGAAATCCATCTCAGACTCTGCAACTGTTACAGTGTTAGGGGAAGAAAAGTCTGAAAAATCATGATGTCTGTGTAGTTTTAATCATGTGTTTATGTGAACTGTTAACCTGCTGTTACCATATGTGGACATAGTCACACATGCCAATGTCTGTTGTTTTTTTAGGTGATTTTGATGAACCTGTGGCAATATTTGTTACCCATGGAAAACATCTGTTTCCATATGTCAACATCTGTTACCATGCAACAGTGTTTGCTACCATGTGACAATGTCAGTTAACGTATACAGTGTGATAATATTGATCACTTCAAATCAAAAGTGTTAATATGGGAATTTTTGATGGGTCATTTTAACTCATCCTGAAATGATTGGGTGACACACAGCTCTTGCATTTACACATTGTTTGGAGTTCAGTAATATGATGTATACTTTGTTTTGATTAAATAATAATAGTATACAGTGCCTTCTCAAGCAACCAGCATCTATTCTTATTTTCCCCAAAGAAAAGGGATGCTACAGTAAACTAAACAATGTTTGTGAGAAATGAATATTCTTAAATTGTGCAAAGTGAAAACTAAGCATTTAAGAAACAAGACACATTTAAATAATATAAAGAACTCTGCTCAGGTTTCATTTTCAGAAAGAACATGTAGTTGTTTACTAGGTTGTTTTTCAAAGAAGATAAATATGGGCCTTTTGTTGAGGTTGTGACTCCGAAAACAGGAACTAAATTGAGGCTTAAAATGCTGACGAACTGATGGATTGTGTGAATATAATGGACAGACACATCAGTGTAGATATTTATACTATCGGTAGATTATAAGTGATACACATAGGTTAAGGTTCTGGTTTGCATGTCAGAAATATAAATGTATAATCAGGATTTATTTTATTTATTAACAACTGAAGGGCAATTATTTTTGGCTGAACATTTTCAGCTCCACTGATACGAAGGGAAGCCTTTACCGTTGTGTAGCATTTGTTTGTCTGTTGTCAGTGTTTTTCCTAAAACAGCTTCTCAAAAATGATAATTGATATGTAGCATATATATAGCATGAGTCATGATGATTGTGTAGAGCTCTTAAACCTATTCAAATGAATTGACTTACATTCACAGTCATAGGGGGTCACATCCTCGATATCCAGGGGTTACGCTCACTTTCGCTCTCTACACCCCTAAAATATGTCGTAGCAAAACTGAAGGCTTGGTGTGCGCCACCTTGCTGATGAGACAAGAAGACTAGTTTGATCCTTTGATGTACATCAAAAGAACCTCTCGATCACGTAATGGTAAAAATTGACTGGCTTTGAAGTCAGGGGTTTCTCCTTTGTAATCTTCAAAGGACAGGTATCAGCCTAGCGATTGATCAGTTTTTTTAACCTGACACCAATCAAACAGCTATCTGGTACCTTTTATTTTGCTCTGACATATTCCAGGGGTGTAGAGAGTGTACATGAGCGTAACCCCTGGATATCGAGGATGCAGGGGTCAAAATGACATCTCTCAAATGACTGGGTGTTTTTTTTTATAAAATACAGGACAGCTATTACCTACTGATTGGTTTTATACATGTGCTGTATTAGCAGTGTAGCTTCAGATATATTATAACAGGTTAGGGCCACAGGTCTATGGGCTCCTTTCCTGTTCTTTTTTACAAATATTTGAAAATTAATACATTTTTACAATTCAGAAAAACCTGATGAATGAAAGTGTTAAGCAGATGAGCATTGTGTTACTGTGTGCATATGATAAAACAGAGGTTTTTATTAATTTATTATACAGACTATGAATGAGAGAGAATGTGATAGATGTACATGAAAATTTAGATGTGTATTGAATAAAATGAGTGCGTATAAAAATGTTGAGAAAATGCGATAGGTATATAGTATGTTAGTGACAGATCGTTTAAAGGTATGTACATGTATATTTGGTATGGATCCATTCTCATCATTCTACAAATAAAACCAATGGGTTAAAAATTCAGTTTTTGTTTTGATTTACACAACTGTTAAGAATATGTTAAGTAAAACCTATTTGACTTCCAACTTACATGTATCATGATAAGCTATACCATCAACACCAAACTTTAAAATAATCGTATTGAAATACTGTATACTAGTATAAGCCATAAGGAAATTTTCGCCCTCGATGATGAAATCTATTTTCAATATTAAATTTGCCCTTTTCATTTAGTTACTATATATATTATATTGTATTCAAATGTTTGCTGTGATGATAAATTGGCCCTCATTACAGAGGGAAAAAACAGTGAAAATTAAACTCCACCAAAGATTTCCCGGTATACAGATACATGTACAATACCATTAACAGTAGTTAACTGATTGATTAAAGTAATCCTTCTTTTACCACGGCTTATCCAGGGCTGTATCCTGTAGAAACTTTTGTCAAAGAATGCTCAATTTAAAATGACCAAATCATTTAAGCAAATCTAAAATTATTGACAATGAAAAGCAGGTTACAATAAAAGAATATTTTTCTTTGATTATGTCATTTTGTTGAAGCAATTTATTATAATTGTGTCACACAATGATGCCTTCCTGTAATTAATTTGAGCAATGTCTTTTACACAGTAAACCAAGCTATTTTATTTATCAATAATATTAATAATAAAAACAAACTCTTGGAATTGATTACCGTATATTGAAATTTAATTGCTTGATATCTTCCTTAATCATTACAGCTATGTATTTCCATGTCTTTATGATGAATGTGGCAAATAATGCCAAGATGGTTTCACCTAACATCTATATACAATGTACATGTGTATTCTTTGCATGTTTGGAAAAAGATGGAAAGCGATTAAGTTCTTATTAATTTGGAAACATTCAATCTTACTAGATACAAACATCACATGCATAGTTTTCTTGCATCTCTTAGTACATGTCTGAGGCATAAAGATCATGACAATCAAAAAGTAATGCACATACATGTATATTATTGTTAATTAAGAACTAAATACATTGTGATGGTAAGTTTACTATATACAGATGATAGGCCATGAACAAATTGTGTTCCCTAGGGGCTACCAACAATTTGTATTGTAACGTTTTATATCCACATCATCGCACATGTAGTGATTCAACACTTGAGAACACTTGGTTGTAGCATTTAGAAGTTTCCCTGTATACCTGTACAGTATACAACTAGGAACACAATCAGCTACAACTGTCCAACAGTTTCTGTAGGATGAGTTTCTGTCCGTGGTCAGTGTACAACACATATTTCTGTCGCTGAGACAGTTTGTCCAGTCCCGACGCCAGACACTCCTCATCCTCCTCTAGACTGGTATCGTACAATGCTAGACACTTCTCAGCACACCTGTAAAAGTCACGAAACACCTGTAGCTACATCATAATAATGAACCAGGCTAGGAATCTGTCACAAAACAAAATATAATTAAGATTAACCTAGCTGTCAACCATTTTTGTTTCCACAGGACTATCCTGTTATATCCCAAGCAACAATACAGTTCATCATCAGTGAGTGTTGCAGGTTCCCCCAAAGGACCCCTGTTATTGATAACCCATCATCAGGTTTGACAAAATAATTCAAGACTATTTTTTGAAAGGTGAACAAAAATGCATGGTTTATTTGTAGAAAGAAAAAAAGATAATAGAGAAAAACTAAATCAGAACTAGCAATCAAAACTCTTCTGCGATATGTACGATGCCCATGAAAATCTAGGTCAAATTCATGTGTATTCTCAAAGAGAGAACAGTGGGCGTGACAGCAAAATCACAAGGCAAAATAAGTTATTAATATAAAAATAAGCATTGACATTTGAAACACACAAGGAAATTGATTATTTCCCTGTGATGTCAACCATAACACTTTCCCATAATCTTATTAATCTGCATCTCACAGAAACCCAGTATTTTAAGTTTGTCTATCAGTGTTTGACATCTGCCTTGGAAATTTTGATAAAAAACTATGTTGCGGGATATTACTTTCAAGAAAGGGAAAGATCACTATTGGAAAATTGTAAGTGGTTTTAAATAATTCATTTTACCAAATTGTATAGGCCATTATCGAAGCACAATACAGAATACATATCATGATTCTAAGCCTCATTGTTCTGTAATAGAAGTTGTTAAGTTTATCTGGCCCATGCAACCTTGAAAATTTTGTCAACGTTATTTTTTCTTAAAACACTTGATGCCAGAAAGATACAGAAACAGGAATAATGAGCTAGGCCTCATAGCTCATAAGATGAAGTTGTCTTGATGGTTTCAAAATGATTTGTGAAAATTAATCATACTTAAAACTTACCCTTTCAGTAACTTTTTCCATGTCTCCTTCAGTTTTGGTATTCCATTTGGAACTGAAATATTTAAACCCCATAATAAAGTGAGATAATTTGTCAATGTCTAATAGAATTCATACATCCCTGTTGGTGATCCATAATTGTAAGACAAAGTTACAAAAAAAGAAAACTAAGTATCCTCATTTATTGTACAAACATCTTGAATGTTTCCCTTTTCAACAGTAACAAAGAGATACCAGAGGAATCTTGCCACCCACAATTGTAAGATCTGTATTAGTTCTAGGTGTGTTTGATCTGTTTTTCTGTCATGTCATGAATATGTGTGGTAATTAACTATTGATCAAAACTTAAACTGCTGTGTTTGTGTCCTTACAAAGTGAGGTTGTACATATACTTTGACCTATTTATTAGTACGTATACTGTATGTGGAAAAGAGAGAACAAAAGATATTTCTGTTTTCTAGCATCCATCCTTTTCTTTTAATCAAGCTCAATTTTTTTCAGACATGTACATATCAAATCATTCAAGCACCAAAAGGCTTCTAAGTAAGTTCCCTAAGCATGGGGCAAGTTTGTATTGCTCTGCTATTGAAGTACATTACTTGTTACCTTGTTGTTTCCCCACAGTACAGCGTATATTACCCCTAATTGATTTCAGATCATACATATAGAGGACTGGATAGTAATGTATCGTCTTGTTAGATAACCAAACTCACCAAACATCCACTTCTCATCACCGTCTTCTTCCTCGTCTCCTTCATCTTCACTCCATCCATCTTTCTCCTGGTGTTCCTCAAATTCACCTCTGGTCATCTCCAGTACCTGGACAGTGGTCAGCCAAGACAGAAATGTAATTAAACATTCATATCCAGTACCTGGACAGTGGTCAGCCAAGATATAAATGTAATTTAACATTCATATCCAGTACCTGGACAGTGGTCAGCCAAGACAGAAATGTAATAAAACATTCATATCCAGTACCTGGACAGTGGTCAGCCAAGACAGAAATGTAATAAAACATTCATATCCAGTATCTCGACAGTGGTCAGGCAATTGCAATTCAAATGTAATACTAGATGATGTGCGTTCATGTAGAGCCTCGCCAAATTCAAGTCAAAAAGTAACACCATGGTCATAATACACCAAAGTAAGGCAATATGATGCCCATACATTTTCAGAAAAACAAGACAATATGAAAAATGCAATTAAATTGCTCTTTCTCAATATCTGAAAGCTTTTCTAGATATCAATCTATAGGAGTTATCTACCCTCAGGTTGGTCACCAAAATAGCCAGTGAAATTGCTGTACTACTTGATTACAGATGCACAAAACAGATGTAATCCGGTGTAACATTCATCTAAGGTTTTGAATAAGGGCTTATTCTCACATCTCAATTATGTAAACCTGACCTTATAAGGTAAGTCCCTCCAAATACATAAATCACAATTATGTAGACCTGACCTTATATGTAAATCTCAATTATGTAGACCCGACATTATAAGGTAAACCCCACCACATATGTAAATCTCAATTATGTAGACCTGACCTTATAAGGTAAGCCCCACCACATAAATTGACCACAAGTATGTAGACCTGACCTTATATGTAAATCTCAATTATGTAGACCTGACCTTATAAGGTAAGCCCCACCACATAAATTAACCACAAGTATGTAGACCTGACCTTATAAGGTTTGTTGGCCCATGACTCTGTAAGTTTATCCCCGACGTGTATGATAACACTGTACCAGTAAGTTCTAGGACAGATTGGTTTATTTTACACTGTTAGATCATCACTTACCTTGAGAGTTGTCTCCAATTCATCACACGTCTCTACAGATTCATTACTCAACACAAAAGCATCATCTTCTCCAACCACCTCCTGAAGACAACCATTGACACTATCAGTACAAGGTAAACAGATTATATTAAGCAGGCCTGTGGTCTATACATAGGCAATACCACACCTGTGACGTCTTCGATGTCTTAGAAAGCACAAGTTTTTGTGTAGTTGAATACAGCCATGCATGCACTGCCTGAGTAGCTTGTGCACATTTGCAAAATAAAATTGTTATCTCGGACATCAGATTAAGACAAACATGTTGTTTGTTTCTAACAGATAACATTTGTTTTACCAAACAGCACTGGCAGGCAAAGCAATAAATGACTTCATTTGTTTCAGTTCATTGATTTGAATCATAAGATAGTAAATTACATAAAGTAAGTGAAATTGATATTATTTGTTAGTCAAGTTGAAACAAACAAACAAACAAACAAACAAAAATAGTAAAAAAAAAATACTAACCTGTTCCATTAAAAACTCCCATTTCTCTTCCAGAAGTGTTTTATCTGTCTGATTGGCCTCCAGATTCTCAGCAGTTGTCTTCAGAACTGAGGCTGGTATATCTACCTGTGTGATATAAAGATCTAGTATATTTACCAGTGTGGTGACAAGATCTTATATATCTATCTGTATAAAAACAAGATCTTGTACATCTACCTTATAAGCTATCAACATGTACCAAACAAAGCTGTAAGATTCTAAGTTAACCAGTACCTAATTCAATTACAGCAAATTTCCAGTAATCACTATGAAATAACAAACATTCGCAAAGTTCAACTTTTAACAAAATCCTAGAGTTTCTTAGAGACTTGTTTGACATGATCATCCAATTAGAATATAAAATATAAGCCTGTTGAACTAACCCCTGCAATCTGGATCCCTGCATAATCAACTATACATGTATATACCCACTGCATACATTTCAATGACAAATATAAAACAAAAATATGTCTAAAATATTTGAAATTGAATTATTGTTCAGGGCGAGTTTGGTTCAGACAGCTTTACAGTACTTTCTACAAGTATATGAAAACAGCTTTTACTCCTGCATATGACAGATTAATATTCCATTACGACTTTATCAACATCTGTTCTGATATATCAACACATAGTTGCACTAATGCTATCCTGTGAACTTACTGTGTCTTTGTCGTTGTTGGGATATCTCTCAGAGAAGCCGTACATGTGTAGTTCGTCTTTGTTGGACAGCATACCATAGGTGTTGAACACTTCAGCACCCTGTATAAAGTCAGCATGGTTTATCAACTAGTCAGGACAAGAGGCCCAAAGGGTCTTAAAACACAAAATGAGACTTATGACTCAATTAAATGGCAAAAAGATGAATGGACACTTTTAAAGGCACTACTACGTATGACACTTCACAATGGTATTTACACATTTCTGATCATAATGAAAGTTCAAAATAGACTTTAAAGATGACTGCCATGGAGGCCAAATTGCATTTCAAATTGGCCCAAAATAAAAACAATTGCTCAAGACCATGCACCGATCATTTAATAAGTTTAAGTAAAATCAGTTCAGGTTTAAATTCAAAACAGATTTTCAAAAGGTTGCCATGGTAGTGACTTTGACCCTCCCCGAAATGGCTGAATATGAAGAGTAAACGCTGTTTCAGATGCCATATGATATGATCTGGTCCATTGAATTTACTGTTTAACATTTTATCAACTAAAGAAGAAAAGTCTCAATCTATTAAGAGAACGCCAACCTTGGCAATTTTAGAAGTTGAAACCATTTTCAAGAAATCTTTCTCAAAACGAAGCTCAGCGTTGTTGTGGGCTACATGGTTAAGTATGTCGGCCATTGGCACCATCATCGGGGCAGATTTGGAGGGAGCATCTTCTTTATCTTCATCATCTGCCACTGGTTCAGTAAAACTGTATGCCATCACAAAGGCCACCATTTTCTTGTATAGCTCCACATTCTCACAGGCAGGACTGACAGATACATAATATCTACATATACTGGTCAGATAAATAATAACTTAAAGCTCAATGATCTTACTGAGGTAAAAGGACATGGCATATGGAAAGCTGTTGACAAGGGACAATAACATCCTTTGTTCCAAAACAAAATGAAGATAAAATTTAATTCTAATTGTTTCTATTTTAATCTTTGGACAATAGAGTTTCAGTTTACACCCTGTGATGCTGTGATAAAGAATAAATGTGTCAAAGCAAGATACCAACTGTATGAGAAGCATCTTGATAAGCATGAACACTGTTTCTAACGTGTTGTAAGTTTGATAACTTCTGTGTGCTGCTCCAAAAGCATCCAAATGACTGACACCTTGGTGGGGTACATTTACTAGGATTCTTGAAAAATTGATCGAAAAATTGATTTAACGTTAGCTTTCAGAACTAATATCCATTGCTATAATAAGAGGTACTTCTAAATGTTATGAAAATAACTGGTCAGATCAAGACTAGCAATATAATCTCGGAGCACCATGTGTGTGTACGTACTTAGACATGTTATAGATGTTCATTACAATAAAGCAATTTATGAGAGTTACAAATATTATATTTAATGTATTACTTTATATATCAATCACATTCATCAGACACTATTCTAAGAAAAGAAGAAAATTGTTATATCAAAATATTGAAACCTAGTCTAAACCATCTTCGCTAGCCAAGTGTTCGCTCAGTGTACACTTGGCTAGCGAAGATGAGTCTAAACAGACCACAGTTAAATTATGCACAAATGGAGCAAAACCCTTGCAAAACATAACCGCTATACAATACTCACCTGGTTCTCATGACAGAATCTAATAATTCAAATACTTTTTTTACATAAAGGACCGATAATATTCCTATGAGTTTCCAAAAATTAAATAAAAATAAAAAATAATGATGCTGTCTTGTAATTAGATGGTTATCCTTTAGTCAGGTCGGTGATCTTCCTAACTTGTCACAAAGACTTACTTTTAAATGTAAAAATTAAGTAAAGAAAAATTAATTTTCACAAAATTGGAGAAAGATGTACAGGGTGCATTTAAAAATTCAAGAAATATGAACAAAATATTTGATTAATTACCCAAACACATCTGTGTGCTTCTGTACAAATGGCAGAACAATGGTTGTGAATTCCGATGTCAGTGACTTTATGTCTCTTTCCACACATTTGAGGATCCCATTAGCAGAACCAAGCAGAGACGCTCTCTCAGATCTGTAAGACACAACATTCGGAAGTCATAATGAGAAACATCAACATCACACTACTGCAGTTCTCTAGGACAAGCTATGTCTATTTGACAGTTCTCTAGGAAAAGCTATGTCTATTTGACAGTTCTCTAGGACAAGCTATGTCTATTTGACATTATTGACCTCAATTCATACTTTGCATCAGAAGAAGAAAATAGAAGAACTGGTATTTTTCCGTTAACAATTATATACAGTAGGCTTGGTACAGTATATATAGTTTTTTTCTGAGCAATAATTGCAATAGTTTGAGGTACTGGCTGTAGGTCAGTGTTTTTTCTCCAGGAACTCCGTCTTTCCTCCACCACCAAAACCTGGCACATCCTTAAATGACCATAGCTGTCAATAGGAAGTGAAACACAAACAAACCCACCCAAGCAATAGTTTGAACTTTGATCCTTTGCTGTGCCTTGGCAGGTAAAAATTTGAGAAAGACACAAGGAATTCTATTGTTTCCTCAACCCCTAACCCCTAAAACACCATACAGTAAATTAATTAAGTGAGTCAATCTCGTTATTTCTAAAATAAGCAAAACCAATGCATAGTGGGGTATTACAAGTCTATTATATATTGATGAAAAGGAATATAAGACTTTTTCATGCACAGGGGAGTAGGATAGGGAAATTCCACCCGAGGGGTTTTCAAATTTGGTAAAACACAAGGCTTTGCTGAGGGTTTTGCCAAATTTGAAAATCCTGAGAGTGGAATTTCCCTATCCTACACCCTTGGGCATGAAAGAGTATTTTTCTCTCATTCCAACTACCAGAATAAGCTCAGAAACCATGAAAATGTGTTTTAACTGGCTACCATTTTGAAAATATCAATTTTTCCTCTGAGACTTTTAAATGCAAACGAATCATCCAGCCAGATTTAGCATACTCCATATTTGTGAACAGGGTTTGTGCAGAAAAAAAATCTCATTTTTCTAATATGTATGGTAAATATATTGTAAATATATTTACGTCATCGGAGAGTTCCAAATTCATGACGTCACGTCACATGAAAGGGGGCGTAAGATAGAAATTTCCTACACCCCTTTCTTACCCTGGACAGCTCTATCTTACACACAGGGAAATGAGAGAATATATATGTAGCGGTGATTACAGTGTCTAATATAAGAATGCTACATTAAGTTTAAGACCAGGTGGACGAAAATAATTCTTATATGTAAGTGAACAAAGAGATATCAATCATACGTAGCTCTTTGGAGAGGAATTTCAAGGAATTTAGGTTTTTCGTTAAAACAAAAGCAAAATGTCATGCATATGTACTGGTACTTGAACTAGAATCTTTCTGATATCTTCTTGCAGCAAAGCATTATTATACTCAATTATCAAGAAAAGTTGAATTATTTCTTGGGTGGGATGAAATGGGAAAATATAATAGACTTCCATTTTTTGTTAACTATTTTCGAAATATTTTTATAAGAAGAGCATCCCTTTACCAATATATTCAAATCATGTCATAAGCTATGCTATTGCCATGAAAATTAACATAGCATTGCCATTTTATAATATTCACATGGTCATATGACTCTCATCGCATACCAGAAGATTCCCTCAAAAACCTTTGGGACTAACTGCAGTCACAATGATCAAGTATGTCAATGATCAAGTATGTTGGCAGGATAACACAGCCCATACATCATAACATTTCACACACTCACACACTAGCCTTTTTATTTTATGATATTTGCACCTTCATATGGTTTTCATTCAAAATATTCAGTTGAAAACTGAAAATCTGATGTCACATGGTCATGGAAATGGACGGACAGAAATCGTGATCAAAAAACACACTACCCTTTTGTTGGGCATTTATAAACAAGAGTTAGAGGGACCTGACAAGTATGAGAATAATGAGGTTCCACTGTGCAAAGAACAGATCATGTTGATTTCAAACTTACTCAGGCCAAAACATCGGGAGGTCAAGCTCCCTGAAGTCCGGTACAAGGTCAAGGTAAGGCCGCCATGTAGATTCCGGGTTATTGTACTCGTACATAAGGGCCAGGAGGAGGGGCACCCAGCCACTCTCACTCACCAAGGCAGCTGATTCTAAAAGGCAAGTAGTAAAGAGGTGAATAATATTCTTAAAATAGGAATGGCAAGTTAGTGTTATCATTATTAATTTCCAAGATCAGGTTCTTAACAAATTCTCATGTTTTACTGTTGCAACAGTATTGTGACATTTCAAATTCCTATGTAAGCTTTTTCTTCCTATTTTTGTGGGGGTTTTCCCCTCATAGTTATTAATTATTAAGATTGAGCAGAAAGATCAGTTGTTGATGCTAAATTACCTTTTTTTAACAAACGGGATATTGCACAAGTTTTGGGATGTAGAAGTAGCTTTCTAGGAACTTTAAATAGGCATTCTCCACTGTCCACATTGTCTGTGGTTAGCATGCCATACTGAGCACAGGAACCCTGCTTGGAGACAGCAACCTAAAAAAACAAAATTTAAAGAATTTGTGAACCATAAAAGCCGATTTGTACAAAACGAATAACTTGAGAAATATTTATTTAAAAGCTAAGGGGGATTGCTTTTTGTGAAAGTTGAATAATAAATTTTACTTTACAAATTAGACCACTATGACAGTAAAGAGAACGGTAAGGGGCCTGTTAAAGAAGATGGATCAAGGCATTGTTCTGAAGGCTGAAATATTGAATTTAAGTTCTAATGATGAACACTGTTTGCTTTTCTTCCGCAGCTGATTATTTCTGTCCTCTTATTAAATGTTTGTTTCCAAATTTTATTACATTGCCCATATAAGTTCAAATATAATGGAACAAGACAACTGTCATCAGAATCCACAGTAAAAAGGAACAAGACAACGGTCATCAGAATCCACAGTAAAAAGGGACAAGACAACTGTCATCAGAATCCACAGTAAAAAGGAACAAGACAACTGTCACCAGAATCCACAGTAAAAAGCAACAAGACAACTGTCATCAGAATCCACACTAAAAAGGAACAAGACAACTGTCATCAGATCCACAGTAAAAAGGAACAAGACAACTGACATCAGAATCCAAAGTAAAAAGGAACAAGATGACTGTCACCAGAATCCACAGTAAAAGGAACAAGACAACTGTCATCAGAACCCACAGTAAAAAGGAACAAGACAACTGACATCAGAATCCACAGTAAAAAGGATCAAGATGACTGTTCCCAGAATCCACAGTAAAAAGGAACAAGATGACTGTCACCAGAATCCACAGTAAAAGGAACAAGACAACTGTCATCAGATCCACAGTAAAAAGGAACAAGACAACTGTCTTCAGAATCCACAGTAAAAAGGAACAAGACAACGGTCATCAGAATCCCCAGTAAAAAGGGACAAGACAACTGTCATCAGAATCCACAGCAAAAAGGAACAAGACAACGGTCATCAGAACCCACAGTAAAAAGGGACAAGACATCTGTCATCAGAATCCACAGTAAAAAGGAGCAAGACAACTGTCATCAGAATCCACAGCAAAAAGGAACAAGACAACGGTCATCAGAATCCGCAGTAAAAAGGGACAAGACAACTGTCATCAGAATCCACAGTAAAAAGGAACAAGACAACTGACATCAGAATCCACAGTAAAAAGGAACAAGATGACTGTCACCAGAATCCACAGTAAAAAGGAACAAGACAACTGTCATCGGAATCCACAGTAAAAAGGAGCAAGACAACTGTCATCAGAATCAACAGTTAAAAAGGAACAAGACAACTGTCTTCAGAATCCACAGTAAAAAGCAACAAGACAACTGTCATCAGAATCCTCAGTAAAAAGGAACAAGACGACTGTCATCAGAATCCACAGGAAAAAGGAACAAGACAACTCTCATCAGAATCCACAGTAAAAAGCAACAAGACAACTGTCATCAAAATCCACAGTAAAAAGGAGCAAGACAACTGTCATCAGAATCCTCAGTAAAAAGGAACAAGACGACTGTCATCAGAATCCAAAGTAAAAAGGTACAAGACAACTGTCATCAGAATCCAAAGTAAAAAGGAACAAGACAACTGTCATCAGAATCAACAGTTAAAAAGGAACAAGACAACTGTCATCAGAATCAACAGTAAAAAGGAACAAGACAACTGTCATCAGAATCCACAGTAAAAAGGAACAAGACAACTGTCATCAGAATCTATAATGGAACAAGACAACTGTCATCAGAATCCACAGTAAAAAGGAACAAGACAACTGTCATCAGAATCCACAGTAAAAAGCAACAAGACAACTGTCATCAGAATCCACAGTAAAAAGCAACAAGACAACTGTCATCAGAATCCACAGTAAAAAGAAACAAGACAACTGTCATCAGAATCCACAGTAAAAAGAAACAAGACGACTGTCATCAGAATCCACAGTAAAAAGGAACAAGACAACTGTCATCAGAATCAACAGTTAAAAAGGAACAAGACAACTGTCATCAGAATCAACAGTAACAAGGAACAAGACAACTGTCATCAGAATCCACAGTAAAAAGAAACAAGACAACTGTCATCAGAATCCACAGTAAAAAGCAACAAGACAACTGTCATCAGAATCCACAGTAAAAATGAACAAGACAACTGTCATCAGAATCCACAGTAAAAATGAACAAGACAACTGTCATCAGAATCCACAGTAAAAAGAAACAAGACAACTGTCATCAGAATCCACAGTAAAAAGAAACAAGACAACTGTCATCAGAATCCACAGTAAAAAGCAACAAGACAACTGTCATCAGAATCCACAGTAAAAAGCAACAAGACAACTGTCATCAGAATCCACAGTAAAAAGCAACAAGACAACTGTCATCAGAATCCACAGTAAAAATGAACAAGACAACTGTCATCAGAATCCACAGTAAAAAGCAACAAGACAACTGTCATCAGAATCCACAGTAAAAAGAAACAAGACAACTGTCATCAGAATCCACAGTAAAAAGAAACAAGACAACTGTCATCAGAATCCACAGTAAAAAGAAACAAGACAACTGTCATCAGAATCCACAGTAAAAAGAAACAAGACAACTGTCATCAGAATCCACAGTAAAAAGAAACAAGACAACTGTCATCAGAATCCACAGTAAAAAGGAGCAAGACAACTGTCATCAGAATCCAAAGTAAAAAGGAACAAGACAACTGTCATCAGAATCAACAGTAAAAAGTTAAATGTCTCTTGAATTGAACATCAGTAGTACTATACTGTGGCTGCTGTGAACGATAACCTTTAGAATTTAAAGTAAAATCTGCCTCTTCAGTATATCTCTACTATTATATTGTTTTGTAAACTTTGTACTACTACATATAATCACATACAATATATACAAAAAATCTGCCATAGGTAAAAACAAAGTTCCTTATCTAATCATTTTGTATTTTATTTCATTAATTTAGTGGAATAACATTGGATTTTTGCATAAAAAATGCTGTGAATAAAACTTCCCTTATTTTAATGTAAATTCCCTTAAACTTATTGTAAAATACACAGATTGGTCTCAAGGAAATCTGGCATGTACAATGTATGAGCGTCTCATTTATCACTACCGATCCATTGAAAAACAGTATTTCCATTTCCAGCATCTCGTATGTAAAGCTATCATATAAAGGTAAAGTGTTAAGATAAATTATTACTGTTGTTACTACAATGTATCATGAAATATTTGTCTATAGAGGTACCTCACTCTGCATTAATTACATCATGCTATGCTTTACAGTTGTTTAAAAATAAAATGACTATTTGATATAGATAAAAAAGAATAAAAAAAGAAAGCAAAAATATTGCTTGCTGTCCAGGCATTTTAGTGAAGGGCATCAAAATGAAAGGGGAATACCTTGATAAGGGAAATACCTTGAGCTCTATGCCATAGTTTTCACTTCATCTTCTTCATAGAAGGAAGAATACAAAAAAAATGTAATTTGAAAAAAACGATCTGAATTTGAAGTCTTCTTTATTATTATAACCGGTACATAGGTAACTTAAATACCTTCAACTATAGTAAGATTAATTAACATTGGAGAGAAGCTTGCCAAACTATTGATAGGTTTTTGCATAACTGAACATTTACATGTTTTTTACCCAAGTCATAGGAAGGGCATCCATATTGTTTGAGATGGCCATGGGCTGATGTTAAAATTGCTGTAACAATTTATTCAATATCAGCAATGAGCATAAGTATAAGTAGTGTGGCTAGCAGACATCTATCTGTTAATATAAAATGTTTAAGTCTGTTGTCAGGGCTAGAAGAAACTGGGACCAATATTATATATACAAGAATATATATCAACCAGTAACAGAACAAGAGGCCCCATGGGCCTGAACCGTCACCTGAGGCCTACAGTGTTTATTTTTGTTGTTGAAATATGTACCAATTTGAGTACAAAATAGTTAAGTATAACGTTAACTTAAGTTTGTCAGGTCCATGAGCTGATCATTCCTAGACCGAGTTTCAGTTAAATCGGCCTATTTAATAGAACTTGTTTTTAAGTTTGAAATAGTTATTTTCAAAATAACGGCCGTGGCAATCAAATTGGATTTCTGATCGACTCGAAAAATAACAACACTGTGTCAGGACCATGAGTAGATCATTCCTACAAAGTTTCAGTTCAATCGGCCCATTAGAACTTGAGTTTAAGTTTGAAATAATTTTTCAAAATGGACGCAGTGGCAGCCATATTGGATTTCTGATCGAACCGAAAAAGAACAACACTTTTTTTAGGACCATGAGTCGAACGTTCCTACCAAGTTTCAGTTCAATCGGCCCATTAGACCTTGAGTTTAAGTTTGAAATAATTTTTCAAAATGGACGCAGTGGCAGCCATATTGGAGTTCTGATCGAACCGAAAAATAACAACCCTTTTTTTAGGACCATGAGTCGAACGTTCCTACCAAGTTTCAGTTCAATCGGCCCGGTAGAACTTGACTTTAAGTTTGAAATTGTTTTTTTCAAAATGGCGGCCATGTCGGCCATATTGGATTTTTGATCGACCCAAAATAGAACAACACTTTGTCAGGACCATTAACTAATCATTATATTATGTTTGTATTTTGCAGGTAGCAGTCATCCTTTAGATTAAAGAATTCGAAAGAAATGAAGATGTTAATTCTCATTTATGACTGCTACTACTATGTATACAACTCCGACACCCTGCCAGGCATGGATTAGGGTTATCGCCTTGTCATCAAGCCATCGTTCATCACTCATTTTTGCCACATCTTAGGATCACATCATGCCAGTGTTACAGTGCCCTGTCGTAGGCTGCACATGGACGTCTCAAGACCTGACAGCAGAATTTTCAGCCGCCCTCACTGCTTCTCTTCAAATTCATGACAGGACCGTCCATAGAACCCAAGCCAATCCAACACCACCAAAGCTCAAGTTGGACCCACCAATTGTTTCTGCTGGATGTGACCCAGACCAATGGTCAGCTTTTACCAGGCAGTGGAACATGTATAAGGTTGGA